AAATCATCTAGTACGAACACCTTCAAATTCCTCCAGACAATGACATGCAACAAAGACAGAGGAAGACTAATAATCTGTTGACTGCCAGCAAGTATGAAAGCACTTCGCAGGTATTCAATAACTGGCAATATCTGGATGAGAAAGGTATTATTTCCACTCTCTAGAAGAGAAAACAAAAGGTTCTGAGGATAGACAAGCTATTTCCAAGCATGAGACCAACACAACCTATGCCCAAGCCCAATATTCCTCCCATAACTTCAAGAATGTCTCCCGTGAAAGACCAAGTTCAAGCACATAGAAGCTCATTGTTTCCAGCCAGTCAGCTTCGATGGTCTCTGAAAAGGTTACCTATAAAGTGAACTTTTAAGATTGATGCCTGTGATGACAGTGTGCCTGAAGATACCAAGAATAGCAAAAGGCCCAAACCTGTGTGTGAGTGCCATGCACAGCAGTTATTGGACACTGGTCACCATAGCATGTGGGTCCCTCTTTGTTAAGCTTTTCATTCTCCTGCTCTGTTGATGGGCAGTAGGTTAGAACCAAGCATAGAATCTGGCCTTCAACTGTAAAACTGCTTTCTTCTGCTATCTGTCATCCCAACATGAAAGTAGATTTAACTACACAAGCCAAATTGTCAAAGAATTCACTTCACAACTACAGGAAGAAGAGGAGAAGGCTTCTGAGTGTTGGTTTCATGAAGAAGTGTTTTCTCATAGCACTCTACTGTTTGTGGTTGTATTGTAGATCAAATGTTGCTTCTCAGGGTCTAGCTATTTGACTAGAGAGAGGCAGAAGGGAGCATGTTGGGAATTAGTCAAGGCTCATACCAAAACATGGGTTGGAAAAGCAGTAAATGTTCTGCAGACAGTACATGTTATTTTGGAAAAGTGATTGCATTACAGGATTTAAATCTTTTAAAGGTGAATTAAGAAGCCAAGACAAATTTCTAAAGTCTGATATCAAATGAGAGAGAGAAGACAATTCAATATAACAGTATAAAATGGAATGTTCTCTTGAACAGTTTTATACAGCAGTTTTCACTACTTTTTATTCATCCATCCATCCATCCATCCATCCATCCATCCATCCATCCATCCATCCATCCACTCATTCATGTAGTAGTAAAGCCCTGTAAGGAGACATAACTGACTGAGGAGCTTACATCTTAGACTGAGTGGTCAAGAACCAAGTAAAGAAACTTCCAGGCAAAAGAATGAACCATGGTAGGTTTTGAAGTACAAACAAGGAACAAGATTCAAGAAAAACTAAGAAAATGGGTGTGATAGGAATTGTAAAAATAAAAAGGGCTATTGGGGAGGAGTGTGTGTGTGTGTGTGTGTGTGTGTGTGTGTGTGTGTATCTACTATTGAGCTGGGAGGGGCAGATCATGCAGAGGGTCCTGAGTATCAGAGAGGAGTTGGGATTGTATTTTAAATGTGACAACAAGGCAGTAAGATGTTTTGAGCAGAGAAATGACACAATATAATTTACACTTTTCAAGAGTGGGATATGAAAAGCTGACCACAGGGCTGTAAGATTGGACCTGAGGAAATCAGTTTTGAAAGCTAGAGCAATTGCCCAAGAGATGCTAACAGGTGCTGAGACAACAGCATGTAAGGCAGTAATGAATACACAGTTTGAGACACGGTGAGATAATGGATCTGTGGAAAAACTTAGATTTTTGAACTGAGTCAAATTATGGCACCATTAATTGAACTGAGGAAGGATGGAAGAATAATAAGCTTGAAGGAAAAAAATACAAGTTTAGTTTTATGCATGTTAAATTTGAGACATGTAGTAAAGGACAAGCAGAAATTCATCTCAGGCAGTGTTATAGATTTGAGTCAACATTAGCAGAAACCAATATAGAAGTAGTACTACATGACCTAATGATACATCTTAGGGCTACCCATGCAATGGACATAGATAAAAGAAGGGTGGACACTGAGTCCTAGGGCTGTTCTACCCAGGGGCCAGGAACAAGAACCAGTGAAAAAGACCAAGGAAGCTTCTAGCATCGAGGGGAGAAACAAGAAAAGACATCATGGAAGACAAGAAAATCAAATGTTTTAGTAAAGATGGAGTGAATGACCAACTTTCAAAACTGCTGAAGGCTAAATAAAAACACTGTATTAAGAAAGAAAAGTCTTATGAAAATGTCAATCTAAATTCAGCAATTACTGGTATGGGAAAATGAGGTTATAAAAATTGCCTTAAAATATGAATTGAATGCTTTTACATGAAAATCCAATCATTACCCTCAAAGGTATGACAATTAGATTCATATGGGTTTTCTTTTTAACTAGAGATCCCCTTACACACACACACACACACACACACACACACACACACACACACACACATTTTAGTTCAAATGCCAACCTCTGAAAGAATTTATTTCAACTACCCCTGAAAGAATTCCTTCTACTGCAGAGAACTTTATGACCTGTTCTATGTGTCATGTTCACAAAATATACATTCACAGATGACTAACACTGCCTTGGGTCAAATTCTGGGCCACTGGTAAATCTATTCTGATCACTACATTATTACGACACACCATTTGTATTGAAGTAAAAGCCTCAGTGTTCCACTTTGTACTTTGGCACTAATTGCATTTCTTTGGTTACCTGCAGACTTTGGGCTACACTGTAGGGTGTGTCTTCCTGGAATGATCATGAACATTTAAAATCAAGGCTAACTTTCCCTATCATGTAATATGCTAAATTATGCCTACTTTGCCAGTGTACATTTAAAGAATATGTTCAAAGAATACGTAAAACAATACTCAATGTAAAATAATAAAATGCAATAAAATAATACAAAAAAATCCAAAAGGAGTGGGGTATGGTGGTGTGCACCATAAATTGCAGTACTCTACAGGAACAGGCAGGAGGATCTCTGTGAGTTTGAAGCCTACATGGTAAGTTCTGGCCAGCCCAGGTTACATAGTAAGAAGCTGTATAAAACAACAACAACAACAACAACAACAAACACAAAACAAGACCCAACCTAGATGGACAGAAACTGTAATAAATTCTTGACTCATGCCCCCTTCATCCATGTCAGTAATCCACAGGTTTCCCACGGAGTTAACTAGATTATTGATGTGCCTCTGAATGGTGTGAGGTCATATCGGACACTTGAGGGTTGAGTTGTTTTAGAATGAAGATATGATTTGGGTGTTTGAAATTCAGCTTTCTTATTTGAAACTGAATTTCTATTTGTTGTTCAGAACCTACGAGGGGAACATAGTCTCGACCCACAGTGATTCACATGATCAATTATTTTTAATCCTTCAGTAACCTAAACTTAGACCATTTGATTTTCTTGTCATTGCTTTCCCTATACTATCAAAAATGATGCTTTCTTTACTATTTCAAACTCATCAGAAAATCGCTAAAAATCTAAAATTCAATTTGCCACATTACTGCTAATTTGAATAATGGCTGAATAAAACACAGGAAACGCTGAAGCAGCATTGATTTCTAAAACATTTTGCACTTTTCTCCTCCATCCCTGTAAAGTAAAGCTTGGATGCTACGCACAATTACACAAGAAAATCAAGAAGGCCATTACATTCAGCATTTTGTCATGATCACTGTTACCATGGCGAAGAGTAGGCGTAGTTTAGCACAGCTGCCACGGGCAAGATCTGCTGGCCTTTTGTAAAGCTGAGTAACAATGTAATGCCAAATTCGATAGCCTCCCACCCACACTCCACACTGTTTGTTGCCTGCAGATGCTACCATCACCTTCCTTAATGATCTGGGCATGTGTCAACTTATTACTGTATTCTTACTGTTGGCCAATGACAGAGGAGCCCAGTTAATTTAGAAAGGTTGCCACCTGACCCACCTCTTGTTTTCGTGGAGGAAAACACATGCTGTGAAAACCAGAATGCAATCATAAAGAAAACCAACAGTTGCGTTGCAGGTGACAATGACTTGTTTTAGAAATGGAATGGATAGGGGAGAGAGATGAATACAGGCCTGTGACAACTAGCAGATAGCATGCTACTCCCTTGCTTTGAGTTTCAGTTTAGTTATCTACATAAAGGGGATAAAAGTAACTTCTTGGCTGGGAAGACAGCTCAGTGGAAAAGTGCTGCTACACAAGTGTTGGAACTGAGATCACCAGCACCTCCATCAAACCTAGGCAGGCATGATTGTTGCCTGGATCTCCAGCAATTGGGAGGTAGAGATGAGATCCCTAGGACATGCGGGAGTCAGTGAACTCTAGTATCAGTGAGACCCAGTCTCAATAAATAAAGTGGTGAGTTACTCTGGAAAACCACCCAATGCCAACTTTGGGCCTTCACACCTACAGTCACACATATATACACATATTCACATGCACCCATGTACTATCCACATGCCCTCACATATGCACCCCCCCCACACACACACACACTTGTAGCCTCTCTGTAAGGACTAACTGAAACAACTTTCAGGTCTAGGCACAAAGCAGGTATTTGATACAGCTGTTCCCACTTGCACGGCTTAAATTGTGGCGATTTCTGTCTCATCAAGATGGTTATAGAAATTGGTAGGTGAACTGCTCGCTACTGTTGTAATGAAAACATTTTCATTTTTCATATGGTTCGGATAGTGTCTTCAGAGGATGAGAATAAATTAATTTTTATAGTCAAAAAGGAAGCATAAATTCCTCATCAAAGGGATAAAATTCCAGTGTCTATATTATATTATGCACCACAGCTTGTTATCCGTATTTTAAGTGACACTAATGTAATCACTGTAAAGCAGGAAATAGACTATACCAGTTTTGACCTTAAGCACAGATTTTAAGTTTTAAAAAATGAAACAACATCATGAAAGCAGAAAAGTTTAAATTATCTGAAATGAATACATTAATCAGAGTCTATATTTACTAGGGGAAAAAAGGCTCCTAGCATTTTTACCAGCTAAACAAAATATTTTTTTCTAATGAGACTTCAGCTGAGTATCGTTTATCTTAAGAGAAAAATAATGGGACCTTACCTATTCCAGTAGCTCCAGAACTGGCCATGCAGGTAGGCGTGGTGGCTACATTCATCACCAAATGAGGCTTTGCTTTCAATCCAGTGAATTATGTGCCCTTCCACAGCTAAGGGACAAAGCATTACTAATACACGGCGAAGGAGAAGGAAGATTGAAAATCCTCAGCTATGCACTGGCCTCTATGCTTCACATTAATGAGCAGGGGTTTAGCCTCTGCCATTCACTGTGGGTGTGATTATAAAACAACACGTTGTGTGAGTTCATCGCCAGGCACACCAGTGCCACTACCTCATCCTGTTGTCTTTAACCCATTCTTCAAAACTCCCTTTCTTAATGCTCAAGATGCTGTTCTGTAGCTCGACAAGTACCATGTTGCAAAGACCAAAGCGTGCCTGGCTGTCTGGCAAAACTGTGTTTTAAAAATTCAAAATTTTGTGTAGAGAAATGAGTTGAAAATGGCATCTCATAATGCCTGTAGGAGGCATGCTCATTCCTCAAGTACATGGCAAAGTGTTGAGGCACAGGCTTCGTCTGAACCAACTACGAGATAATTTAAGATAGCCTTTCCAATGGCTTTACCCATTTCAGTATGGTCTTATAAAGATAAGCTGCCCTGGAAACATTTGCTAATAGTAACACATGAAAATCAATCCCCTCTATACACAGATGCATATCAAGCTCAAGAACTTACCAACTGGCACCTGTAAAATGAAGTCTGGTGTTTTGTCATAGCCCTTTGCACGGAGCTGATCTTCATCTGCAGGAAGAGCAAACACTATCATTTATTTCGGCACTCCATCAAAAAGACAGCAATATAATTGCTTTTCTTTCTTAAATATGTGTAAAAATTACTAATGCAGCCATACGTGTCTTTCTTATGCGTGCAATGCCGTGTCAGAATAAATGAATTTTCTTCCCAAATCTGAATCAGAGATATAAGAATGCTTCTTTGTCCTTTTTTGCATTTTTATGTCTTTATTATAAACACCATTAATCGAAACTGTCAGGAGCTACCTTTTTTTTTTTTTTGTAATTGAAAATTCTCAAAATAAATATACTTACTGAAGGAAAGAAACAGGATCCACTAGTGTCAGCAGTCAATATTGACAGTTTACGGTAAGGCAGAAACACAGTGCCTTTGCAATCAGAAAATAAATGCTTTCTTAAAACAATCAAGAAGCTCTAGTTTCAATTAATAAAACTATTGCCATACATTAAGAAAAGGAGGAAAAAAAGGAGATTGCCACAATTAGTCATCTTGCTTAGTCCCTTAGGTATACAACTGCTTCTGGTGATTAAGAGTTTGACAGTCTGTAGCATATACTTCTGAAAAGCAAACTGGCTTGGAGATATTGTCCCTATCTTTTCAGTTTCTTCTGTAAATATCAATGATTGCTGTTTGAGGGGAAGAAAGCAGTGAAATAGGAACCTAGATAAAGTTGGGAAAATTAACTCGGGTGCTTGATTTAAACACACACACACACACACACACACACACACACACACACACACCTCCCAGTATTTTCTAAATGCTGCCCTTGACTTCTAATGGCATTACAATGTGATTTCTGAAACGGAGAGTTCTCCATTAGATTTTGGAGTGACCTGGTCATTCAATTCCAGGCATGGCTTTCTGTCTTCACCCAACCTCAACTAATGGCTCAACCAAGTAACAAGGAAGGCCGAGTGGTCTCTTAACACCTACTGGGCTGTTGACATTGTCATGCATCCCATTGGCCTTCCTGCATCAACTTTGATTAAAATTAATGGCCCATTCCCAGTGTTGGGTAGCTTATTTCCAATCCATTTGTCAGCCCAAGACAGTGGTTTCATGGCCAGTGTTGAGAAGCTGTTTTAGAGCATTCTTGTGTGTATCGTGAAAGGTCAGCGTTTTAAACATAAATAAGCTTTAATGAGAAGACAGACATTAAAGTAGATATCTAAGTGGGATGCTGTTAGAAGTTGGTATTTTTACTCAGATTTTGAATGCTTGATGCTAGGGTTCATAAGTCTTCCCTCCTGGGAGTACAACAAAATAAAAATCTCAAGCTGTTGAAATAATAAAATACAAATCAAACTAACTTTAATTATAAGACAAAAGAATTTTTGAAATTGGGCAATATAAATAGACTGGAAAAGTTTCCACCTTTCAACTTTACTCTGACCATGAAAAAACAGTAATTGAAAAGGTATTTATTCAAATCAACCCTAGTGTTTTGGGCAATATTTTAGGTAAGTGATGAATAGTTTTAAAAGCTGGTTGACATTAAAAAAGATAGATGATATTTTATTAAAACTATCCTAGCTTCATCAGCCTTTGTAGATGTTAAAATTTGTTTCAGAAAGAAAAATGATTATGTTTCTGACAGCAGCTTAAAAAAAAAAAATTTCAAAGGTCACCAAGCAACCCAACCTACCAGTGCAGTCAAATCCCTTTAAAAACTGACCCACAGTCTGCTCAATACACTGCAATGCAACTGCAACTGCATAACCTCTCTAATGTGAAAATTTAAAGTTCCAAACATACTAGTGAGGCAAGGGAATGCACCTATGTTTTTGTGGAGAATTCCAAAGTACCAAGGGATATAAGGTCTCAGTCAGTCTGTCTGTCTTCCCTCCCTTCTCCTTTCTCCTTCTTCCATGTTCTCAGTATTTACCAAGTTGATCCTATAGTAACTGAGTCTTTACCACTGTTTCCTATAATAAGAGGTTATTGAGAACATCTGAAATGCCCTTTCTTTTACTTACTATAACACTTCTATTTTATACCCCCTATGTAGTGGTTCCCCAACCCCTTCATATTATTGGGTATTCACGATCACATTCCTATCTTTTATCTGACTATTGTTCTGTGCAGATTTCCCCTTAATATAGACAGGTATGCAATCTACATTTTCCCCAAGAACCAAGCATTTCATATGGGTTCTTCTGCTTTACACACACTTTAGTTAACTAGTTACTAAGGATTCTTGACTCTCCCTAGATGAAACCAGATGTCTGAAATATATGCTGTCTTGTCAAAGAAAAAGGATAAGAAAAAATAGTATTAATTAAGAGAGGAAAAAAGTGAGGGCAACAATCTGAAATTGCACTTTAGTACACTCGCCCTACCAAGCCTACCAACCTCACTCAGTGAACACAGCAAAGAGGCAGAAAAACACACATAAACCTATGCATTTCACAGCTCCTAAACTCATTAATCTCATGGTCCAAGGTTTCATTATCCAAATAAATATAGGAATATTATCACTTAAAAGCACGCAGCTTTCATATCTACAAAATGAAGAATTATATATAACCAGAACCTCATGAAACAGTATTTCTGTGCTAGAAAAGTTTTATCAACAACTAGTCCCACATTCTAATTTATATATCTTAAAAGAAGCCCAGAGAAGTTAAGTTGTCCACCATGACCTGGGCTCCTCAAATAGCGAAGAGAGAGCCCATGCCAACCAAGTCCCACTTTGTCCCCACAACTCTACACCATTCTTATTTATGTCAATAATTAATCTGGATCATGTGTGATACTTATGAAGAGTGGGGGATGTTTTTTTTCATCTTGTGTGATTGGCAGGGGACCACCTATCTGAAAGCACCTGGAGAACCGGATATCCTTAATTTCCAGAGCTTCAGTGGTCCTCCTGTCATTACATCCCAAAACTCAACAAAACTGCTGAAATGGATATTCTTTTTAAAAGCTACATTTAAACATTATTATTTCAATTGCACAAAACACAGGTCTATGTTTATTTTTACATTGTCAAGCCTGTCCTTAGGTAATATTGTAAAAAGGGATTATACATGCCCAAAGAACATTGTGAACATTTAATTTCTCTGTCCTTTGAGTTATCTCCTTGAAATACCCAAAATATCCAAAGCAATTAGCTACTAATTACACAATTTCTTTGCTTAAAATAAAGGGTTGAGATTTAGTCAGAGAACAAGACACGTCTGAAACTAGTTAACATATACTTACAAATCATATTTAGGACTACTAGAAAATGTTTTCTTTAAACTGTACTGTTTTATTAAAATCTTTAAATTTAAGAGATACATCACTTTCCAAGAAAGTGTGCAAAATTCTAGTTTGCAACATCTGAAAATGAGGAGTAACACTATGAACTGATCCATGAATATGAAATAAAATACACTGAATGATTTTTTAAAAATCCTTTAAAACCTTGTACATCACTAGTAAATTCAGAGAGCCCAAAGTCATGCATTGCTGCATATTAAAACTACAGTATATCTTTTCTACTTTAGTATTTCATGTATTTGGACCACTTTCATTTTTTGAAACATTCTTAATTCAATGCTTAGAGTTGTGACCTTTCTTCTCTGTTATGTTCCCTGAGAACAAGTCTCACAGCCTTTTCTACTGAAGGCATCAGTAGGGCTTCAATAATAGTTGCCATTATGATACGTAAACTGTGCAAAGGTACACCTAACACACACGTAGTGAACGGGGAGACTATCTCACACAGAAATGAAATCTTTACCCAACTCCAAATTTCATTACAGCCATTAGTTTCAACTTCTTCCCCCAAAGCCTCTTCACAAAGCCACTAATAAGGACTGCAACTGACTGCTCTGACCTTGTCCCCGGCTTATGTCTTCAGGGGACAATACTAGGGGAAACTGAAGTGCCCTAAAGATAGGAAACAAATCGGAGGTCAAGAAGCTAGAGCAGCATGAAGAGTGGCTAGGTAGGCCATCCTGGCTGCCTGCTGCTGGGGAGACTGAATACACAAATCTCAATAACACAGCAAATTACTGCAAATCCTTTTGGCTCCATGCTTCAAAAGACAGACAAATCAGCATGGCAGACAAATGAGACACACCCAGTAAGGCTACTGTGAGGGCACTAAGTTGTAAAGAAAAGACTGAAGCTAGTTTTTAAAAAAACTTAAAAAAAAAACAAAAAACAAAAAACAACAAAAACAGGGGGGCCTAAAAAGTCCCCGGAGCCTTTGCCAACCTCAAAATTCTCATGAGTCGTTGAATGTCGGTCCATCTCTCCCAGTTTTCTTCTGAATTGGTATCCATGGAAGAGGCATACTCAATGTTATGAGGCATAAAAAGAGCCCTCACTGAGACGTGTGCTTACGTATACAAATCTGAAAGTACTAACAGACCACTGAGTCAATTCAGTAGTAACAGTCAGTGATTTGACTCTAGGTGAGCTGTGGTTATGGAGAATAAAGATGGAAAGTACAGTTAATTCATTGTAGGGAGAGACTATTTCATTTGGCTGCCTTGTAGCTATCCTGCCTGGCATTGCTATTGAAGGAACCGGCTTCCCTTTTGGCAGCCATAACAGCCGAACACG